CTCCAAAGAATCTTAACTAACCTCTCCTTCCTTAGATCAAACCTGATTACCTTCCATTCCTTGGGCACTGTATGACCCTTATGGGTTTAGCACTTCCCTATGAATATAATAATAATAAATAATGTGCTTATGGAATCAAAGCACAATATGTATGTGTGATATGTGAATGCTCAAGAGTCATCTGAAGAATCTCTGATCACAGGACAGTGCTGGGTGGCAAGAAAATAATGGTGGTGCTTTCATACATGCAAGAGAAAAATCAAAAGCTTGAAAGTTCAACCCCTCAAGGAAGATTCCTTGATGCTTATGAGGGGCTCTTGATATAAGGAATTGGACCTGTGATCCAATTCCTTGAATCAAGTCCAAATGCCTTCCATGAATGTAAATGGAAAGTTCAAGGTTAGCCACATACAAAATAAAAGCTAGTAGTAATGCTCATTGAAGAACTAAAAACAAATGAATGTGAATAACATATAGGATGAATACAAAGAATGATTGGTTGAAAAGAAGGATGTGGTGTGGAAACTTGAGATCAACTAAAGAAAACTTTATTCAGATTGTGAACCCAGCAGGGTAAATAACTGAAGATACCCTAAGAAAGTCAACATGTGTGACTTAATTTTGTTCAGGTCTTGTGGTTCTCTAACATAGGATGTAACACATAAGTTGACTATTCTTAGGTATTTAACCCTTTCAGGGTCCGTGCCGTAGTTCTACGGCTTTGAGTTGAGGGTCCAAACCGTAGATCTATGCCATGAGCTCAGCTCATTCTGATAAGCTGTGAGCGGTAAATCTGGGCCTAGATATGAGAGAATACATCTATGTGGTATGTGTGCACCACATAAAGCAAATCCTGCAGCACACAGTGCATAATGAGAGAAAAAACCGAGACTGTAATTTTCGTTTAAAACAGTGACTTTGAGGTGTTTTTTTTTGTATGTTTTTTATAGATGTGGATAGGGGATAGTGGATAGGGGAGCAATGTGGCAGATGTTGCAAGTATATGGAATAGGTGGTAAGTTACTAAATGATGTAAAGAGTTTTTATGAGGAAAGTGAGGCTCAGGTTAGGGTATGTAGAAGAGAGGGAGACTACTTCCCGGTAAAAGTAGGTCTTAGACTGGGATGTGTAATGTTACCATGGTTGTTTAATATATTTATAGATGAGGTTGTAAAAGAAGTAAATGCTAGAGTGTTCAGGAGAGGGGTGGGATTAAATTATGGGGAATCAAATACAAAATGGGAATTGACACAGCTACTTTTTGCTGATGATACTGTGCTTATGGGAGATTCTAAAAAAAAATTGCAAAGGTTAGTGGATGAGTTTGGGAGTGTGTGTAAAGGTAGAAAGTTGAAAGTGAACATAGAAAAGAGTAAGGTGATGAGGGTATCAAATGATTTAAATAAAGAAAAATTGGATATCAAATTGGGGAGGAGGAGTATGGAAGAAGTGAATGTTTTCAGATACTTGGGAGTTGACGTGTCGGCGGATGGATTTATGAAGGATGAGGTTAATCATAGAATTGATGAGGGAAAAAAGGTGAGTGGTGCGTTGAGGTATATGTGGAGTCAAAAAACGTTATCTATGGAGGCAAAGAAGGGAATGTACGAAAGTATAGTAGTACCAACACTCTTATATGGGTGTGAAGCTTGGGTTGTGAATGCAGCAGCGAGGAGGCAGTTGGAGGCAGTGGAGATGTCCTGTCTAAGGGCAATGTGCAGTGTAAATAATATGCAGAAAATTCGGAGTGTGGAAATTAGGAGAAGGTGTGGAGTTAATAAAAGTATTAGTCAGAGGGCTGAAGAGGGGTTGTTGAGGTGGTTTGGTCATTTAGAGAGAATGAATCAAAGTAGAATGACATGGAGAGCATTTAAATCTGTAGGAGAAGGAAGGCGGGGTAGGGGTTGTCCTCGAAAAGGTTGGAAGGAAGGGGTAAGGGAGGTTTTGTGGGCGAGGGGCTTGGACTTCCAGCAGGCATGCATGAGCGTGTTCGATAGGAGTGAATGGAGACGAATGGTATTTGGGACCTGACGATCTGTCGGAATGTGAGCAGGGTAATATTTAGTGAAGGGATTCAGGGAAACCGGTTATTTTTATATAGCCAGACTTGAGTCCTGGAAATGGGAAGTACAATGCCTGCACTCTAAAGGAGGGGTTTCGGGATATTAGCAGTTTGGAGGGATATGTTGTATATCTTTATACATATATGCTTCTAAACTGTTGTGTTCTGGGCACCTCTGCAAAAACAGTGATTATGTGTGAGTGAGGTGAAAGTGTTGAATGATGATGAAAGTATTTTCTTTTGGGGGATTTTCTTTCTTTTTGGGTCACCCTGCCTCAGTGGGAGATGGCCGACTTGTTGAAAAAAAAAAATTGGATTTCTTGGTCTCATTTCATATGTAGGCTGGTAGGCCTACATATGAAAGAATGGGGCTGTGTGGTCAGTGTGCACAGTATAAAAAAAAATCCTGCAGCACACAGTGCATGATGAGAAAAAAAACTTCGACCATGTTTTTCGTTTAAAACGGCGACTTTGCAGTGTATTTTCATATGGTATTTATGGTTGTATTCTCGTTTTCTTGGTCTTGTTTTATAGTACCTTGAGTGCAAAGTAGCAGAAATGTTCAACTTTTGCCAGTGTTCAAAAGTAAACAAATCATGCCACGCGTCCAATACACATCAACTGGTAAGTCTAATATTCTTTCACAAGTGCACTGATATTATTTATACCATTTCTGCACTAATGCAGTAGTCTGCATAACAGTAAATCCTCTATTTTTTGTGAATAAAAATTTAAAGTGGAAAGCAAAAGAAATGTAAGAGGGGCCTGGAGACATAATTAATGAACAGAGAAAATGTTATTTTAGTGCCAGGAATGTCTGTCTTGTTTATTATGGACCCTATTTTGAAAATGGCATCTTTTGAAATTTGTGTAAAATTGGCAAAATTGCCAATTTCTGACCACTTTATTGGATAGTTGAAATCAGTAAATGGGTGGTTTCTTGTACTCATTCGATAGAACAAACAGAGTTCTAGCGAAATAGCTACAACTTTTGTTGACTGGTAGATTGGAATTGGTGGAAAACAGGTCTCAAAGTGGGCGAAATCGCCAATGCGTAAACATCGTCAAGACCACTAACTTTGCGAGAGCATATTTCCGTAAGTTTTCCATCAAATTTCATACTTTTGGTGTCATTATGATCGGGAAAAGACTGTCATTTCATAAGAAAAAAATTTTTTTTATTTTCGAAAAATTTTCAACCCTTAGAACGAGTTTAGGAGAGGGCCCCTCGACCCTGAAAGGGTTAAATTTTTGCCGATGTTCAAGAGTAAACGAATGACCTCTCACGTCTAATACACTGCAGTTGGTGGGTCTAATATACATTCACAAATGTGGTGATATTATTTATACAATTATTATAATATTGCATAATAGTAAATCTTCTATTTTTATGGTTTGAATAAAAATTCATTATGTGAATAAAAAATAAAAATGAAATTCATTTGTAAAGCCTCAAAACATAACTAATGAACAGAGGAAATGTTAGTTTAGTGCCAGGAATGCCTGCATTGTTTATTCTGGACCCTATTTTGAAATTGGAATATTTTGAACTCTGCGTTAAATTGGGCAAATTACCAATTTCCAATCACTTTGTTTTGTAGTTGAATCAGTTGACTTGGCAATTTCTTGTGCTCAATCGATAGAACAAATGTAGTACTAGTAAAATAGCTAAGAATTTGGTCGACTGGAATAATGTCATTGGTCTAAAATGGGAGTCAAAGTCGGCAAAATTGCCAATGCGCAAATATCGCTGACACATCAAAATTCGCGAGAGCATAATTTCTTCAGTTTTCCATCAAATTTTGTACTTTTTGTTTTATTACCTTCAGAAAAAGATTCTCTACCATTTCATAAGAAAAATAAATTTTTTTTTTGATAATTCTTGGACCCTGGTGCACACTTTGAAATTTGGTCTCTGGACCCTGAAAGGGTTAATTACTGCTAGATGAACAGGAGATTTGCCAATAAGTCTCACCTTGCTCTGGATTCAAACTTGAATCTTTTCTGTTGTGAACAAATGCTCTAGCACTAAGCTACAAGAATGAGGAAGTGAAGAGAGCACTTGATGAGAACAGTAATAAGAAGAACCTGCAGATGCTGAGAAGGCAGGGAGAGTAATTATAACAAATTCCCATTTGTTACTGATACTGACAGTAGACTAAAATATGAACTCATTTAATTATTTAACATATGTGGCAACTATAACTTAAATTACAGATCTATTAAACAAAGGAAGTTACCATAAATTTAAGTAGTTATAATATTTTACTTTCAATTAGAAAATTATTTTTAGTTTAGTAATGAAATACTGTAATTTATAAATTTTTAATTATAGGACAACTATTTTTTTGAGAAATTTATTTGCCAACTCTTAAGAGTTTTGTGGTCTCCTTGTGTTACTGAACTGAAAAATTAATTTTTGGGGGGCTGATATTAAAAATATTTAATATTTCTGAGAGAAAAAAAAGTTTCCTCTGAACTAAAATCAACCTGTTCTCTGATATCCTGACCTAAGTAAATTAATTTTTTCTTGTGGTATTGTTTTGTATTATCATAAAATCATTATTTTCCTAGTTAATAAACATTTTTTTAAACTACATTTTTATATGTGTAATAAAAAGATGGAAATGGGAAGTACATTGCCTGCACTTTAAAGGAGGAGTTTGGGATATTGGCAGTTTGGAGGGATATGTTGTGTATCTTTATATGTGTATGCTTCTAGACTGTTGTATTCTGAGCACCTCTGCAAAAACAGTGATAATGTATGAGTGTGGTGAAAGTGTTGAATGATGATGAAAGTATTTTCTTTTTGGGGATTTTCTTTCTTTTTTGGGTCACCCTGCCTCGGTGGGAGACAACCGACTTGTTGAAAAAAAACAAAAAAATTTACTGTAGGGCTTTGAAAATGTGAAATAATGATGTTGTATATTGTACTAACCTTGCATACTGCAAAGAAGTTATGATCAGAAAAGGTATGACCACAAAGATCTTCATATGAAAAACTTAGACAGTCTCGGCATCCGAATCCATCATTAACATGTTCTGTGGGGTCTGCAAGAGCTTGACGTAAGTATTGGTATTCTTTGAAATTCTATTAAGACTACTTATCTAAGTATGTACATTTATAATGTTGTTACACTCTACTAAAAAATTTATTGTACGGTAATACGCACATAAAATTCCAACAAATTATTCAGTAAATTATAGTGGCTGAATTATACAAATTTAAGTCAAAGCATAAAAATGTTTCTGTAATGCTTGAATTTTTTTTATAAGATGAAGCTCAGAAAGCATAACTTCATCTCCCTTTAAGTCACAGAAATATGCAATACAGTAGACCCTCACATTACACAGTAGTTACATTCCTGAAAATGCCGTGTTAGATAAAACTCGTGTTATACAAACTGAAAATCTTATGGGGAAAATATGCTTACATTCCTGGGATCCTCCCCAAAAGCCAAACAACTTTTTTTTAGACATCCAGATCTTACAAAAATAAAAATGATAACATTGTTTTTGTTACTTAATACTACAAATGCAACAGAAATATTATTATTTACCTTAAATTGTGGTTGAAGAGAGTGGAGATGCATGGTGTGGCCCTACTGGGCTGAGGTAGATGGTTGTTAGTTGTCGGCAGAAATGGATGGTTGAGGTTCTGGTACTAAAGTTGATGGCTGTATTGGAGTGTGCATAAATTCTGTAATGGATCTCTGGTTTCTTTTACCCTGCAGTGCATTATAGTATATTATTCCAGAAGCTTGGTACTGCCAAGTTGGAGTCAGAGTCCATTGATGTAACTAGTTTTTTCATCACTTTTCTTGTGTAGTTACTCGTGAATGACTTAATAATTCCCCGATCCAGTGGTTGTATTAAAGATGTTGTATTTGGAGGTAAAAATACAACTTTTACATGTGGGGTAACATCCAGCAAAGCTTCTGGATGAGTATGGGAATTATCTAGAATGAAGAGAGCTTTGAATGCAAGGTTCTTGCTGTGCAGACAAAACTTGGCTTCAGGAATAAAGTGATGCTTAAATCAGTCAATAAATATTTCCTCTGTCGTCCTTGCTGACTGGTTTGACCTCCAAATTACTGGTAAGGTGTTTATATCTACACCTTTCAAAGCACGAGGATTCTTAGTGGTAAATACTATGGGCTTACACTTGAAATCACCTGATGCATTACCACAAAGGAGAAAGGTGAATGATCCTTTGCTGCCTTGAAGCCCGGTGCTGCCCTGTAGAGTAATCTAACCCACAGCCAGGTGGCAGCCTGAGCTAGGGAAATATCCCGTAGTACTAAGTAAATTTTACAAAGCGTTGTATAAAATTATGCCGCAATTTTTCAAAAGTGTAATCAAAACGTGCCAAATAAATCCATGTAATATGAGGGTCTACTGTATTAAATTCATTTTGTTTCTTTTCCCTTCCTGCCACTTCTATTGTCTTTTATCAGATCTTTCTTATTCTTATCACATACAATATCACCACTATAAAAAGCTCTCATCTTATTTGTCCCTTTCTATTATAAAAGAAACATGTTTGTAATTTCAGGAAATTTTTGTAAGGATGCTCTTTGGTCACCAGGAGCCTAATCAATTGAATGGATTGACACATGTCTATTTATACATCTGTCAGTATTCCATAGTGTACCTTGTGTGATACTTTTTCCCTTACTTAGTTGTCAGTCTTTATTTTTCTGCCTGCTGGTATATAAAATTAACACTGTCACATGACATCACCTTCTCTTAATACTGTACTACAGTTTCTTTTAAGCAAATTTCTGCACATCTAAATCCTAATTCCCCAGTATTGTTTCAAATTTGTTAATATTATAAAATGGATACAAGCATATCTGGTTCTACATTTGAAGTTGGTTCCATGATTTCTGAGCCCCACCACAAAAACTGGTGATTATGGTCTGGATACAATAACACTGAGTGATTTTAGCAGGAGCTCTGACAACTAAAAATCTTGAGTGAATGGTTTGATCATTCAAACACTTAAGAGTGTTCATGAGTCTGTGTCATTCTCCTGTTCACTTAACCCTTTCTGGGTCAGTCCCATAGTTCTACTCCATGAGCTCAGCTCACTCAGATAAGCTATGAGTGGTACATTTGGGCCAAGATATGAGAGAATTGGTCTATGTGGTAAGTGTGCATCATACAAAAAAATCCTGCAGCATGCAGTACATAACGAGAAAAAATGTGACCATGTTATTGGTTTAAAACAGTGACTTTGCAGTTTATTTTCATATGGTTTTTATGGTTGTATTCATGGTTTCTTGGTCTCATTTGATAGAATGGAAAATATATTACAGAAACAGAGATGATTCTGATTGGTTTGAGGACTGAAAATAGCTCAAAATTAAGCTCAAAATAACAGAAATCACATAACTCGTCTAATACGCGTCCACTGTTTGGTTTAATATGTGTTCACAAATGCACTGATGTTATTTACACAATTATTACAATAACACACGACAGTAAATCTCCTATTTTTGTGTGTGAATACAAATTCAATAAGGATTCACATGTAAAGCCTCAGAATGTAACTAATGAACACAGGAAATGTTATTTTAGTACCAGGATGCCTACACTGTTTATTCTGGACCCTATTTTGAAATTGGCATATTTTGAAATTTGTGTGAAATTAGCCAAATTATCAATTTCTGATCACTTTACTGGGTAGTTGAAATAGTTGATTGGAAGGCATACTAGTAAAATAGCTAAGAATTTGGTCAACTGGAACAATGTAATTAGCCTAAAATAGAACTCAAAGTGGGCAAAATCGCTGATGCATAAATATTGCTGACACAGCAAAATTCAAGATAATGTAACTTTGTCAATTTTCCATCAAATTTCATACTTTTTTTTATTACTTTCAGAAAAAGTTTCTCTACCATTTAATAAGAAAAAATAATTTTTTTTTTTTTTAAATTCTTGGACCTTGTGGACAAGTTTCAGATTAGGGGTCTGGCTATTGAAAGAGTTAATCACTAAAAAGTGTACTAATAGTATAAAATCTGTTCAGATCATTTAAACAGATTTTGTAAAAAAAATATCTGAGACATCTCAAGAAAAAAAAGAAAATTTCTGTGGGAGTTCAAACATATTTCAAGAACTGTGCACCATCTTGAGGATTCACGGGTACTGGATGTGTCTATTTACCCAGTTTCCCAATGTCTCAAATGTTACTCCTTTAATTAAAAAACGGATTCCAGGAACAAAGGTAAATAGCAATGGTCAATGTGCTTTCTTCTTTAGATAACTCTAGGCCTTGGTGGGTAACAGCAAATGGATTAAAATAAAATAGCATAACTGAGTGCAGTACTTACCAAGGCCAGGAATGGAGGGATCCACCATCACGATATTCTCAGCATCAATTATTTTGACTTTTCCTTTCGAGTCAACAGCAAAATTATCCAATGACACATCTGTCAAGTAAAGGCGAAACTCTCCTTCTGAGAAGTCTTGAGCCAACTCCAGCAACTGATGAGCATAATCAGCACGGACAATCCAAGGCACTTGACTAAGCTGCGTGAGAGTAGGTCCAACATAATTTTCCACCATGACCCGACCACACATTCCATGGAGGAAGGGGAACCACTGCTGCTGCTGGTAAGCCTAGAAGGCAATACAGTACTAGCATGCAACATCAAATTCCTATATAGTATGTATATGCATGAAAATTAAATCAATGAATATAAAAATAGCACATATTTATGCCATGAAAACTTATTATCGTAATTATATAAACTATACATTTAAAAAATATGAGCATGCAATGTCCCCAATACAATAACTGTGCATGTGATAGTACAGCTCAGTATACTGCTGTGCATGTCCAGCCTCCACACTATGTATGAAAAAGACTGCTTTATATTCAATCACCTTTACTTTTTCCCACTTTCATTAGATGGGGATTATTTCTGTACTACTGTACTATATTATATTCACAGGGAAGTACTAAACTGATTACCCTTGCCAGCACTTCAGATGAGTGGGGAAGGTGATCAGGTTTTATTAAAAGAAAAGGAGGCTAGCTCCAATACCTTGGTTCAAAAACTCTTCACCAGCATCAAGGCACTTTCTTGAAGGAATAAGGATCCTAATTACTATTATATTCATGGAAAATGCTAAACACATAAGGGTCATTTGTGCTATATGGCAGAGGTAAAACAAAAAGATGCCAGAGAAAGAGGGAAGGGCATCAGCAGAAAGAAATGGATCACAATCGATGCAGAAAACTGGAGTCAGTTAAGAAATCAGAGAGTGAATCTGCACAAAAGGTGGGTCTATTTGAGATGGGGCAAGATTATTTAAATAATGCAGTACTTGAAGGATCAGTTATGGAAGGAGAAAAGAGAATATGAATGTGTAAATTCAAGGATTATGTGGATTAAAGTAAAGGTTGGATGCGAAAAGTGGGTCATAATAAGCGTGTATGCACCTGTTAATCCGTTCCTGAGAGCTCATCGTTAGTCAAAATTATCGTTAGTCAAGTTAATTTTCCCCATAAGAAATAATGGAAATCAAATTAATCCGTGTAGGACACCCCAAAGTATGAAAAAAAAATTGTTTTTACCACATGAAATATTAATTTTAATACACACAAACTGAAGAAGACATGCACAGTTACATGACACTTACCTTTATTGAAGATCTGGTGATGATTGTTGGGATGGGAGGAGGGGAGAGTGTTGATGGTCTTAGTGTTTAGAAGGGGAATCCCCTTCCATTAGGACTTCAGGTGGCAAGTCCTTTTCCGGGGTTACTTCCCTTCCCTTTAAATCTCTCAAACCAACCTTTGCTGGCCTTAAATTCACTCACATCACCACTAGTTGCTGGCAATTTTTTCATTAAATCGTCATGCAACTTCCTAGCCTTTTCACATATGATCGCTTGAGAGATGCTATCTCCTGCTATCTGTTTTTCGTTTATCCACACCAATAACAGTCTCTCAACATCTTCGAGTACTTGCGATCTCAGTTTCGAAAACATATTTGCACCTTTGGCAAGAACAGCTTCCTTGATTGCCGTTTTCTTGGCCACAATAGTAGCGGTGGTTGATTGGGGTTTTGTGTACAACCTGGCCAGCTCGGAGACACGCACTCCACTTTCATACTTAGCAATGATCTCTTTCTTCATATCCATAGTAATTCTCACCCTTTTTGCTGTAGGGTTGGCACTAGATTTCTTGGGGCCCATGGTGACTTATTTTGCAGGTGCAATCACTAAAAAGGTGTGATAACATGAAATGTTCCGATTGTATGCTTAGAAGCGACCGCGGTGGCTGGCTGGCTTGTAAACACTGGCCAGAAGTGGACGCGTCTGACGGAACAAATAGTGTTGGTCGAGTTTTTTAGCGCTAGTCGAGGCAAAAATTTTGCGTTAAAATGTATCGCTAGTCGGATTTATCGTTAATCGATGCCATCGTTGGTCGAGGGTCCACTGTAGAGGAGAGAGAGAGATTTTGGGAGAAGTTAAGTGAATGTATAGGAACCTTTGAACCAAATGAGAGAGTAATTGTGGTAGGGGACCTGAATGCTAAAGTAGGAGAAACTTTTAGAGAGGGTGTGGTAGGTAAGTTTGGGGTGCCAGGTGTAAATGATAATGGGAGCCCTTTGATTGAACTTTGTATAGAAAGGGGTTTAGTTATAGGTAATACATATTTTAAGAAAAAGAGGATAAATAAGTATACAAGATATGATGTAGGGCAAAATGACAGTAGTAGTTTGTTGGATTATGCATTGGTAGATAAAAGGCTGTTGAGTAGACTTCAGGATGTACATGTTTACAGAGGGGCCACAGATATATCAGATCAATTTTCAGTTGTAGCTACACTGAGAGTAAAAGGTAGATGGGATACAAGGAGAATAGAAGCATCAGGGAAGAGAGAGGTGAAGGTTTATAAACTAAAAGAGGAGGCAGTTAGGGTAAGATATAAACAACTATTGGAGGATAGATGGGCTAAGGAGAGCATAGGCAATGGGGTCGAAGAGGTATGGGGTAGGTTTAAAAATGTAGTGTTAGAGTGTTCAGCAGAAGTTTGTGGTTACAGGAAAGTGGGTGCGGGAGGGAAGAGGAGCGACTGGTGGAATGATGATGTAAAGAGAGTAGTAAGGGAGAAAAAGTTAGCATATGAGAAGTTTTTATAAAGTAGAAGTGATGCAAGGAGGGAAGAGTATGTGGAGAAAAAGAGAGAGGTTAAGAGAGTGATGAAGCAATGTAAAAAGAGAGCAAAGGGGAGAGTGGGTGAGATGTTATCAACAAATTTTGTTGAAAATAAGAAAAAGTTTTGGAGTGATATTAACAAGTTAAGGAAGCCTAGAGTGTTCTCACAGATCAAGTGGGCAGGAATAGGAAACAAAGACCCTCCACTATAAATAACAATAAAAACCAATGTAAATACTATAATGATCCACAGCTGCGCAATCTAACACATGCAGCTAGGAGGATTGGTAAAGCATACCGTGAATGTAGAACCCCAGACCTGCTCAGAACGTTCCAAGCTGCACTAACAAATGCAAGGAATAGAAAGGAAGAACTTAGGCAACAGGAATGGGAACAGTTTGTTAGTGGATTAAATAGGTCCACCCCTTTGAGTTTGGCTTGGAAAGGTATAAATAAAATAACCAGGAAAAAGACTGGCAATGTTGCTCATCCCTTTCCTCTTGAAAAAGCAAATGACCTCATAAATGACTGGTCCAAAACATCCAGGCATGAAAGCCTTCCATCTCATATTAGAAAAAATTTAGAGAGTACTTCTGAAGAAATGTTGAAACTGATTAATTTTATGAGCCAAAATATTGATGAGAGTGATTGCCTCTTTACCGAGTATGAATTAGATAATGCATTAACCAAAGGTCGATCAACTGCTCCTGGAGAGGATGTATAACCTATGATATTCTCAGAACTCTAAGGCACGTGCCTGATAACCCTTTGTTGGCACTGTATAATCTCAGTTACATTGAGGGCGTTCTTCTACTTCCATGGACCAATAGTCTCATTGTGCCTATCCCTAAGCCCCAACAGCCTGATACATTTAGGCCGATCTCCTTAACTAGTTGTCTTTGCAAAACTTTTGAAAGAATGATGCTTAACAGATTGTACTACAGAATCAGACATCAACTTTCCCCCTACCTCTATGGGTTCATGAAAGGTAAAAGTGTGCAGAACTGTATTTCCACCTTTCTCACTGCACACACCTCTACTAGTTTTACCACTTTTCTTGATCTAAAATCTGCATTTGATATTGCAAACAGAACCGTTATACTACATGAACTAGCCAAAATGAATATTGGTGGTAGCTTACTCTGCTGGATAATAGGATACCTGTCAAATAGAGTATCCTCTGTCCTTTACCAAGGCTTCAGAAGTGATTCTAAAGAAATGTCTTTAGGTACACCGCAGGGAGGAGTTCTTAGTCCCATGCTATTTAATATTCTGATTAATGCTCTCCTAAATGCTCTACCTGCCTCACCTAAACATATAGCTATAAGCTATGCTGATGATATCATGATCATACAACAGGGCATAAGAAGATGAATACCATTCTTAATGAAGTTCAAGCAATTTGTAATCGACTAGGCCTCATAATATCTTCCTCTAAAACAAAGATATTAACAAGCAAACGACATCCCCCACCCATCTATTTGCAGGGTGAAATCATTAGCTACGTTAAAATTTACAGATATCTTGGTGTAGATGAAACCCTTTAACAAATCCCACTATCCCAAACAACTAAACAAGAAATGTAAAGCTAGGCTAAATGCTCTCAAAGCTGTTGCTGGCTACAATCCCAACTATGGTGCTAATGTGAGAATCGTGAGAATGATGTACATAGCCTATGTTAGGTCCTTAATTGATTATGCTGCTCCCATGTTGATATTAGCTAGAGAAAGTTCCCTCCGACCCTTGGAGTTAATGCAAAATGAAGCTCTCAGGACTATTCTTGGCTTTCCAGATCTACAAAAGTTCTTAACATGAGGAGGAGCTTGGTATTTCTAGTATCAGTGATAGGATTGTTGAAATTAACACGTACTCGGTATTAGAATGTTGAGAAACGAACCAGACACTGTCACAGTGAAATCTTACCAAGTGTCTAGAGGTAAATTACACACAGATCTAAATGGATTGTGAAAACGTGCAATTGCATTAAGTTTTATAACCTGCATGAACAGTATCACTGTAGGCAACAAGAGCATTTCACCCCTCCATGGAAGATGTGTTCATTTAATATCACATACCTACAAGTCCCTCCCAAGAAGCTCATTGCTATAAACCCTTCCTTAAATCTCTGTTAGAGCAACTGCTCAAGAAGAATTTTTTCGCCTAGCTGGTAGTAATAAGTTATCACAAGTTATATACACTGATGGATCTAAACAGGAGTCTTCTGGCAGGGGCTGCATCTGCTCTTGTTTGCCACCTCCCTAGTTAAGAACGATAATAAATTTGTTGAGTTAGGCATAAGAATTAACAACTGGGCGTCTACACTGCAAACTGAATTGTTTGCAATCCTAATGGCGCTAAAGCTAACCTATGACACTGAGCTTGACTCTATCATCATTACTGATTCTATGTCATCATTGAAGGCTCTTGGCTCATATAATGACTCCAACAACATGCTCATTGGGGAAGCCAGGTATAGATACTCAAAAATTAGGGACAAAGGAATTAATGTACAATTGCTATGGATCCCATCACACATTGGATTACTCCTTCATGATAAAGTTGATATGTTAGCCAAGAAGAGTATCCAGAAGGAGAACGTAGAATATAACTTTGGTATAACTGTGTCTAGCATTAGGAATAATATTAGGAGAGAAGTAAATAATGAAGATGATTGTTATAGGATGCAGTTAGAAGCCTGAGTAGATCTATAACCCACTATGATAACATGAATGTAGATAAGTATGTTTATGGAGCAACTTGCAATGTGAACAGACTGACTGATGTTGTAGTGGCCAGGCTTAGGCTTGGTTACAAGTACTTCTGGCAGTTTGGGAGACACACAGATGATGATCAAACTAAATGTAAATTATGTGATCAGGCATATGGTCACTCTCTTGAACACTATGTGCTTAATTGTCCACTTATTGAGGAATACAGAGACAGACAGTATAATAACCTATGTGACATGTCAAGATATCTTATTAATGAAAATAAGATACCAGATATACTAAGCAAATTTCCTAAATTTGCTTGTAACAGATAAGTGAACTATAGATATGTAGATATAAATCCATATGTATTCCTGTTAACCCTTTGGGGCCTAGTTCCTAGGCCTTTTGTGTATCCACATGCTCTCACGCTACCGTCCACAGGATGGATATGGGGTGCACAATAAACTAGCCACTTCGGTGGCAAAATCTAAAAATCTAGAGAACAAATGGATTTGTCAGTTAAAAATAGGAGAGGAGAGTTATTAAATGGAGAGTTAGAGGTATTGGGAAGCTGGAGGGAATTTTTTGAGGAATTGTTAAATGTTGATGAAGATAGGGAAGCTGTGATTTCGTGTATAGGGCAAGGAGGAATAACATCTTGTAGGAGTGAGGAAGAGCCAGTTGTGAGTGTGGGAGAAGTTTGTGAGGCAGTAGGTAAAATGAAAGGTGGTAAGGCAGCCGGGATTGATGGGATAAAGATAGAGATGTTAAAAGCAGGTGGGGATATAGTTTTGGAGTGGTTGGTGCAATTATTTAATAAATGTATGGAAGAGGGTAAGGTACCTAGGGATTGGCAGAGAGCATGCATAGTTCCTTTGTATAAAGGCAAAGGGGACAAAAGAGAGTGCAAAAATTATAGGGGGTTAAGTCTGTTGAGTATACCTGGTAAAGTGTATGGTAGAGTTATTATTGAAAGAACTAAGAGTAAGACAGAGAATAGGATAGCAGATGAACAAGGAGGCTTTAGGAAAGGTAGGGGGTGTGTGGACCAGGTGTTTACAGTGAAACATATAACTGAACAGTATTTAGATAAGGCTAAAGAGGTTTTTGTGGCATTTATGGATTTGGAAAAGGCATATGACAGGGTGGATAGGGGATCAATGTGGCAGATGTTGCAGGTGTATGGTGTAGGAGGTAAGTTACTGAAAGCAGTGAAGAGTTTTTACGAGGATAGTGAGGCTCAAGTTAGAGTATGTAGGAAAGAGGGAGATTATTTCCCAGTAAAAGTAGGCCTTAGACAAGGATGTGTGATGTCACTGTGGTTGTTTAATATATTTATAGATGGGGTTGTAAGAGAAGTAAATGCGAGGGTCTTGGCAAGAGGCGTGGAGTTAAAAGATAAAGAATTACACATAAAGTGGGAGTTGTCACAGTTGCTCTTTGCTGATGACACTGTGCTCTTAGGAGATTCTGAAGAGAAGTTGCAGAGGTTGGTGGATGAATTTGGTAGGGTATGTAAAAGAAGAAAATTAAAAGTGAAAACAGGAAAGAGTAAGGTTATGAGGATAACAAAAAGATTAGGTGATGAAAGATTGGATATCAGATTGAAGGGAGAGAGTATGGAGGAGGTGAATGTATTCAGATATTTGGGAGTGGACGTGTCAGCGGATGGGTCTATGAAAGATGAGGTGAATCATAGAATTGATGAGGGGAAAAGGGTGAGCGGTGCACTTAGGAGTCTGTGGAGACAAAGAACTTTGTCCTTGGAGGCAAAGAGGGAATGTATGAGAGTATAGTTTTACCAACGCTCTTATATGGGTGTGAAGCATGGGTGATGAATGTTGCAGCGAGGAGAAGGCTGGAGGCAGTGGAGATGTCATGTCTGAGGGCAATGTGTGGTGTGAATATAATGCAGAGAATTCGTAGTTTGGAAGTTAGGAGGAGGTGCGAGATTACCAAAACTGTTGTCCAGAGGGCTGAGGAAGGGTTGTTGAGGTGGTTCGGACATGTAGAGAGAATGGAGCAAAACAGAATGACTTCAAGAGTGTATCAGTCTGTAGTGGAAGGAAGGCGGGGTAGGGGTCGGCCTAGGAAAGGTTGGAGAGAGGGGGTAAAGGAGGTTTTGTGTGCGAGGGGCTTGGACTTCCAGCAGGTATGCATGAGCGTGTTTGATAGGAGTGAATGGAGACAAATGGTTTTTAATACTTGACGTGCTGTTGGAGTGTAAGCAAAGTAACATTTATGAAGGGGTTCAGGGAAACCGGCAGGCCGGACTTGAGTCCTGGAGATGGGAAGTACAGTGCCTGCACTCTGAAGGAGGGGTGTTAATGTTGCAGTTTAAAAACTGTAGTGTAAAGCACCCTTCTGGCAAGACAGTGATGGAGTGAATGATGGTGAAAGTTTTTCTTTTTCGGGCCACCCTGCCTTGGTGGGAATCAGTCAGTGTGTTAATAATAATAATAATAATTGCAGCATCAGCTGTGGCTGCACAATTTTAAGTTCATTATTTAGAGTCCAAACTGTGTCACAGGCTGAAAATACTGAAGATGCTCATGCTGGCTAACAGGAGGAAAAGATAAGATATAATTACAACATAATGTTATAAAGGATATGAAAGAATAGATAAAGAGTATAACAAGAAGCTACTCTTCTAACACACTACAGACTGGCAGACAAATGAAATAAATTGAAAATTTAAAAAAAAATTGTAAGATGAACATAGCTCAATAGTCCTGTAGTTACAAATAAGTAATTACAAATACACCAGGTAATTACATAAGAGAGTATGAAAGACTTTTACATACAAATCTACTTAAGAGGTTAATAGTAAATGAACTTACATTTAATATGAGAGGTTCCATGTTGACTGCTAACATGGTGATAAAATGATGATGATGATAAGGTCCTGCATCAATTTTGATGTAGTTATCATATAAATTTTGAATGCTTCTGTTATGATTGCATCTCACTCCTTCGCTTATTTCAAACAACTGTGGGTACCTACTAATTATCTGTGAAAAATTATGGTTGGTCTTGATTAAAATATTTTTTATAGCCTGTGATACATCACAGTTTTCAGTTTCTTTGCTTGCTTTACACAGATTTTGGTCGAATTCCTTTAGCTCAGAATTATGAGCCAACTTCTTTAATACAATTGAATTTTCTCCACTTTGCCCATAATACACATTTTTAACATTAAAAAAGTTAATAATTTTCCAGCTTGTAAAACCTGTTAATTCTATCTTGCTATGTGATGAGTATTCATCTCTTAATAACTGGGAACACAGTGTCTGGCCGTAACAAGCTGGGCAGGTGTGTAACTCAAAAAATTGCTCGTCAAGTCTCTGATACCAGCCACCAAGATAAACTAACAGCAGTAGCAACACACCACATAGTGTCCACATCTTTTTTCGTCGTCTTCTCATTGCTGCTGTCATCTGCAAAGTATAGAAAATTACAATACGGAATGTTATTAGCAAATTCATCCACTTCTGTCCTTGTTCTTTTTGTTCCAACTTTCCTTTAACTCCCACATATGTTTGAACTGTAGTATCGACATGCCTCTGGCAAGACAGTGATGAAGTGAGTGATAATGAAAGTGTTTCTTCTTTTTTTGGGTAACCCTGCCTTAGTGGTAAATGGGTGATGTGTTAAAAAAATATTATTAGATATGCATCTCATCATATTTTGTATTATAATTCAAGTAATTAGTCCCACTCACCCTGCAAAATTTGACAAATATATCTTTTTATCGTGATTTTTATTATGAATTAAATGAGTAAATTTTAAGTAGTATAGACACTAAGACAGTACTGAAATTTAGATCACAAGTTGCATTTATATTTGACCAGCATTTGTAGTAACCTTCAAAAATGTTATAAAAAATTAATTTGCTTGAACTTCCAACAAACTGCTTGCAAAATATTCCAGCAGCAGTTATAAGTAGCTATAAGATCATCTTAAGGCTGCCTGAAATGTTCTGCATAACCAGGGGCTTTCTGTAAAGTATGAGAACAATGTCACCTTTTTCTAAATCAATTGTAAACCATATTTTGTAGAAATAAAGTAGTATATCATTCATCAATAAACTTGAAAACCAAAAGATGTAAGTGACAATATTTCACTTTACTGGGCTATCCTAGGTTAAATATACGCACAGCCTCTCCTCACTTAGTGACATACTCGTTAACTGACGACACCGACTTACGATGGGCTCTCTGACCAGTATGCATACATAAATAATGTACATTAGAGTTGATTTCCTCTATTCTGTTTATTACAATATAAAGTACATTATGTACTTCATAAATATTTAAAAATATACTAAAAATGTTATAAATTGTGCAAAGGTGACATTAAAACATTATCAAAAATAGTTGACACAATCCTACTACCATTATACAGTAGTATGCTCCTTGCTTAGCGACGAATTTGTTTACCAACGTGGTCTTAAGAACGAAACTCTGAGGAGAGACTGTAATGCACATTTTGTATGTGCCTTCAAGAATACGGTAAAAAAAATTTTTATGATCCCTGAGGCTAAATAAAGAGTGACTTAACTGACTTTCTTAAGTTATCCTGGGCGACTAACCCTCTGGGTTAAAAACACAAACTAATCTTATCTTATCCCTTCAGTATCTGTAGATGATTGTCACTTCCCGAGAATGATTGTCAGCACCTGTTGGCCTGGTGGTTAACGCTCTCGCTTCACACGGTGAGGGCCTGGGTTCGATTCCCAGCCAGAGTAGAAACATTGGACGTGTTTCTTTCCTCCTGTTGTCTATGTTCCCCATCAGTAAAATGGGTACCTGGGTGTTAGTCGACTGGTGTGGGTCGCATCCTGGGACACTGACCTAAGGAGGCCTGGTCACAGACCGGGCCGCGGGGGCGTTGACCCCCGGAACTCTCTCCAGATAAACTCCAGATAAACCTGAGGATGATTGTCAGCACCTGTGAATGATTGTCAGTACCTGAGGATGACAGTCAGTACCTGGGAATGATCATCAGTGCCTGAGAATGATCGTCAGTGCCTGAGAATGATCGTCAGTGCCTGAGAATGATCATCAGTGCCTGAGAATGATCATCAGTGCCTGAGAATGATCGTCAGTGCCTGAGAATGATCGTCAGTGCCTGAGAATGATCATCAATGCCTGAGAATGATCGTCAGTGCATGAGAATGATCATCAATGCCTGAGAATGATCGTCAGTGCATGAGAATGATCATCAGTGCCTGAGAATGATCGTCAGTGCCTGAGAATGATCATCAATGCCTGAGAATGATCGTCAGTGCATGAGAATGATCATCAGTGCCTGAGAATGATCATGAGTACCTGAGAATGATCGTCAGTAGCTGTGAATGATCATCAGTACCTGAGGATAATTGTTAGTACCTGAGAATGATTGTCAGTACCTGAGGATGACTGTAAGTAACTGAAGATGATTGTTAGTACCTGAGAATGATCATTAGTACCTGAAAATGACTGCTAGTACCAGAGAAAGATTAGTACCTTAGAATGATTGTTAGTAACTGAGAATGACTATTAGTACCAGAGAATGAATTTTAGTACCAGAGAATGACTGTTAGTACCAGAGAACGAGTGTTAATTCCTGAGAATGATTGTTAGTACCCGAGAATAACTATTAGTACCAGAGGATGATCGTAAGAACCATATTATTATTATTATAATCAAGGGGGAAGTGCTAAACCCGGAGGATTATACAGTGCCTGGGGGGGGATGTGGAAGGCATTCAGGCTTAATTCGCGGAACTGGAGCAAAGATCCAATTCCCTAAATCATGAGCCCCTCACCAACAACAGGGAACCTTCCTTGAGGGTAGAACCACAAATGATTGTTATACCTAGATGATCCGTTGTACCTGAGAATAACTGTAGCACCTGAGAATAATTGTTAGTATCAGAGAATGATCGTAGTCCCGAAATATGTAGTACCTGAGAATGACTGTTAGTACCTGAGAATGATCGTTAGTACCTGAGAATAACTGTTAGCACCTGAGAATAATTGTTAGTATCAGAGAATGATCGTTAGTACCTGAGAATGACTGTTAGTACCTGAGAATGACTGTTAGTACCTGAGAATAACTGTTAGCACCTGAGAATAATTGTTAGTATCAGAGAATGATCGTTAGTACCTGAGAATGACTGTTAGTACCTGAGAATGACTGTTAGTACCTGAGAATGATTTTTTTGTACCTGAGAATGATCGTTAGTACCTGAGAATGATTTTTGTACCTGAGAATGATCGATAGTACCTGAGAATAACTGTTAGTATCTGAGGATGTTAGTACCTGAGAACGATAATTAGCACCTGAAAATGATCGTTAGCGCCTGAGAATAATTGTCAGCATCTATCCGAGAGGGGGGCAGGTTAAGCTACTCTTTTCAACATACAATAGATCAACAATGACTCTTTTCAACATACAATACATCAACAATGACAATTATTCTGTCAAAATTTCTTTTGTTGTTTAATTATACCTACCGTATGCTTGTTCGCGTTGGAATTAAGGGTCGTTATTGCTGGAGGAGCCGTATGCGATACCGCTGGAGCATTGGCTTCATTAAAAATAATAATATTAATAATAATATCTTTATTTACTACATGTACATGGCATACAAACCATAGCTGACATCAGTGACGTACTACTATATGGAAAGCCCCTTGTTATGCTGAGCATTTCGGGCAAATTATTTCAGCGTCCCAGGATGCGACCCACACCAGTCGACTAACACCCAGGTACCCATTTTACTGATGGGTGAACATAGACAACAGGTGTAAAGAAACACGCCTAATGTTTCTACCCTGGCTGGAAATCGAACCCGGACACTTGTCGTGTGAAGCGAGAGCTTTACCCACCAGGCCACCAGAGCCCCTTATTACTATTACTATTATATTTATGGAGAAGAGCGAAAGCCGTATGGCATGCAGTTCCTAATGATTGGGAAGTTCCATCATTTGATCAGAGGAAGATAAGAATAGTCATAATTCGTTAGATGAAGTGTCTTTCACGAGGACGCAAGAGGTCCGGGTTCAGATGCTTACCAAACCCTCCAAGCTCACCCCGCCCGCCGGCTCATACATGGAAAAAGCTATCATAATTTTTACTATATTCATGGAGAAGTGCTAAACTCGCATGCTTAATGCAATTCCTAATAACCAAGATCTTGAAAGCTTTGATCGGAGGAAGATAAGATAGTCCCAGTTAGTTAGATGAAATGTCCTTCACGAGGACACAAGAGATCTGGGTTCAGATGTTATCGAACCCTGGAAGCTCACCTCGCCCGCCCGCTCGTACATGGAAAACTAGTATAATTTTTTTTTTGAATCCTTGGAGAAGTGCTAAAGCCAAGGAGACAGGTGGTACGTTTAATATAGAATTAAAAAAGGTTAGCTTACATCATTACTCCTCCTCTAATATAATAACGGAGGAACATCATCTCTCCCCACCCGAAAATAAAAGTAATCGTGAGAATATGGTTCTTGTTTGGCGATAATTTATTATTATAAGTGTCTAATGATATCGGACATTGCTTTGCGATGTGCAAATATAAAAAAAAACAATAAAGTAACTTAACCTTACACCGCCCGCAGTCGACATGGGGCTCTAGTGGCTAAAGCTCTCGCGTCACACGGTGAGGGTCCGGGTTCGATTCCCAGCCAGGTTAGAAACATTAGGCGTGTTTCTTTACACCTGTTGTCTATGTTTCCCATCAGTAAAATGGTTACCTGGTGTGAGTCGCATCCTGGGACAGTGACCTAATTTGTCCGAAATGCTCAGGCCTGGTGGCTAAAGCTCCCGCTTCACACACGGAGGGCCCGGGTTCGATTCCCGGCGTGGAAAACATTTCGACACGTTTCCTTACACCTGTTGTCCTGTTCACCTAGCAGCAAATAGGTACCTGGGTGTTAGTCGACTGGTGTGGGTCGCATCCTGGGGGACAAGATTAAGGACCCCAATGGAAATAAGTTAGACAGTCCTCGGTGACGCACTGACTTTCTTGGGTTATCCTGGGTTGCTAGCCCTCCGGGGTTAAAAATCCGAACGAAATCTTATCTTATCTTATCTTATCTTATTTAGTAGTATGTCATTGATGTCAGCTATGGTCTGTATACCTTGTACATGTACTTGTAGTAAATAGATATTATTATTATTATTATTATTATTATTATTATTATTATTATTATTATTATTATTATTATTATTATTATTATTATTATTATTATTATTATTATTATTATTATTATTATTATTATTATTATTATTATTATTATTATTATGGGACTTGTGCGACTTTGTTTACATTTGGATCGTCCCTGTTACCTTGGCTGTGATTGGTCAGGAGCAGCAATGCTAACTTTTGATTGGTCCCGGCGTCAGGCAACTCCCCCTAAGAGAAATGTACTGTTTTTGCACAAGAAATAATAATTTGTGCTGAGGTAAAGACAGCGTGATTATATTTGAAAACATAACGGGATTTCTCAAAAATGGTGAAAGTTATTAGTAAAACAAATATATATTGCAAGGGTAAGGAGAGGCAGCGCGCCTGCGCGCCAGCACCTGCAACCCCCCCAACACCTCACTCAGCTGCAGTGTTGACACTACTACATATATTGACGGTACACAGGTGTCTTAGGTGTTGATGGCAGGTGTGGTGAGGTGTACTAGGTGTTGATGGCAGGTGTGGTGAGGTGTACTAGGTGTTGATGGCAGGTTGGTAGGTGTACTAGGTGTTATGGCAGGTGTGGTGAGGTGTACTAGTGTTGATGGCAGGTGTGGGTGAGGTGTACTAGGTGTTGATGGCAGGTGTGGTGAGGTGTACTAGGTGTTGATGGCAGGTGTGGTGAGGTGTACTAGGTGTTGATGGCAGGTGTGGTGAGGTGTACTAGGTGTTGTGGAGTGTGGTGAGGTGACTAGTGTGTGCAATGTGGTGTGAGGTGCAGGTGTACTAAGTGTTGATGGCAGGTGTGGTGTGAGGCGCAGGTGTACTGTGTTTATGGCAGGTGTTCGTGAGGTGCAGGTGTACTAGTGTTGATGGCAGGTGTGGTGTGAGGTGTAGGTGTACTAAGTGTTGATGGCAGGTGTGGTGTGAGGTGCAGGTGTACTGTGTTTATGGCAGGTGTGTGTGAGGTGCAGGTGTACTAAGTGTTGATGGCAGGTGTGGTGTGAGGTGCAGGTGTAACTGTGTTTATGGCAGGTGTGGTGTGAGGTGCAGGTGTACTAAGTGTTGATGGCAGGTGTGGTGTGAGGTGCAGGTGTACTGTGTTATGGCAGGTGTGGTGTGAGGTGCAGGTGTACTGTGTTTATGGCAGGTGTGGTGTGAGGTGCAGGTGTACTAAGTGTTGATGGCAGGTGTGGTGTGAGGTGCAGGGGTACTGTGTTTATGGCAGGTGTGGTGTGAGGTGCAGGTGTACTGTGTTTATGGCAGGTGTGGTGTGAGGTGCAGGTGTACTAAGTGTTGATGGCAGGTATGGTGTGAGGTGCAGGTGTACTGTGTTTATGGCAGGTGTGGTGTGAGGTGCAGGTGTACTAAGTGTTGATGGCAGGTGTGGTGTGAGGTGCAGGTGTACTGTGTTTATGGCAGGTGTGGTGTGAGGTGCAGGTGTACTGTGTTTATGGCAGGTGTGGTGTGAGGTGCAGGTGTACTAAGTGTTTATGGCAGGTGTGGGTGAGGTGCAGGTGTACTAAGTGTTGATGGCAGGTGTGGTGTGAGGTGCAGGTGTACTGTGTTTATGGCAGGTGTGGTGTGAGGTGCAGGTGTACTGTGTTTATGGCAGGTGTGGTGTGAGGTGCAGGTGTACTAAGTGTTGATGGCAGGTGTGGTGTGTGAGGTGCAGGTGTACTAAGTGTTGATGGCAGGTGTGGTGTGAGGTGCAGGTGTACTAAGTGTTGATGGCAGGTGTGGTGTGAGGTGCAGGTGTACTAAGTGTTGATGGCAGGTGTGGTGTGAGGTGCAGGTGTACTGTGTTTATGGCAGGTGTGGTGTGAGGTGCAGGTGTACTGTGTTTATGGCAGGTGTGGTGTGAGGTGCAGGTGTACTAAGTGTTTATGGCAGGTGTGGTGTGAGGTGCAGGTGTACTGAGTGTTGATGGCAGGTGTGGTGTGAGGTGCAGGTGTACTGTGTTTATGGCAGGTGTGGTGTGAGGTGCAGGTGTACTGTGTTTATGGCAGGTGTGGTGTGAGGTGCAGGTGTACTGTGTTTATGGCAGGTGTGGTGTGAGGTGCAGGTGTACGTGTTTTATGGCAGGTGTGGTGTGAGGTGCAGGTGTACTGTGTTTATGGCAGGTGTGGTGTGAGGTACAGGTGTACTAAGTGTTGATGGCAGGTGTGGTGTGAGGTGCAGGTGTGTTAGGTGTTGCTGGCAGGTGTGGTGTGAGGGACAAGTGTGTTAGGTGTTAATGGTAGGTCACAGTTTACAAATAAATATGAAAGTAATTCATCAGTCACTTGCATCTCCTTATGATTTGCCGTAATAAATTATTGGCTGTACCATTTTTTCAGACATTGTTTATTGAATAGGTAATGTTGAGAGATACTCAGTGACATGGACAGATACACTCTCGTGGAACCTTTATTAATGTCTCATCCACAGTGAGCTTTATCGTGTCAGACTCATTCTCTCATCAATACAATGTACGGTATTGTATTTGTGTCGACAAGAATACTAGTTGATTAGATACTGTCAGGACATCTTAGATTGAGTTTTGGGTTATCATTGGTAATTTACACTGTACACCTGGAGTATACTTGGAGAGGGTTTCGGGGTCAAAGCCCCCACTGCTCGGTCTGAGACCAGGCCTCGAGGTGGATCAGGGTCTGATCAACCAAGCTGTTACTGCAGGTGGCACGCAAACTGACGTACGAAACACAGCCCGGCTGGTCAGGTACTGACTTTAGGTGCCTGTCCAGTGCCTTCTTGAGGACAGCCAGGGGTCTATTGGTAATCTCCTGTATGTATGCTGGGAGGCAGTTGAACAGTCTTGAGCCCCTGACACTTACTGTGTTGTCTCTCAGTGTACTTGTGGCACCCCTGCTTTTCATTGGGGAAATGTTGCCTCTCCTGCCGAGTCTTTTGCTTTCATAGGGAGTGATTTTTGTGCACAAGTTTGGTACAAACTTGTTCAACGATGAGAAATTTCAATTACTCCAATATGGTAAACATGAGGAAATTAAAACTTCACCAGAGTACAAAACAAATTCCGGCCACAAAATAGAGCGAAAAACCAACGTCAAAGACCTGGGAGTGATCATGTCGGAGGATCTCACCTTCAAGGACCATAACATTGTATCAATCGCATCTGCTAGAAAAATGACAGGATGGATAATGAGAACCTTCAAAACTAGGGATGCCAAGCCCATGATGACACTCTTCAGGTCGCTTGTTCTATCTAGGCTGGAATATTGCTGCACACTAACAGCACCTTTCAAGGCAGGTGAAATTGCTGACCTAGAAAATGTACAGAGAACCTTCACGGCACGCATAACGGAGATAAAACACCTCCATTACTGGGAGCACTTGAAGTTCCTGAACCTGTATTCCCTGGAATGCAGGCAGGAGAGATACATGATTATATACACCTGGAAAATCCTAGAGGGACTAGTACCGAACTTGCACACGAAAATCACTCACAACGAAAGCGAAAGACTTGGCAGACAATGCAACATCCCCCCAATGAAAAGCAGAGGTGTCACTAGCACGTTAAGAGACAATACAATAAGTGTCAGGGGCCCGAGACTGTTCAACTGCCTCCCAGCATACATAAGGGGGATTATGAATAGACCCCTGGCAGTCTTCAAGCTGGCACTGGACAAGCACCTAAAGTCGGTACCTGACCAGCTGGGCTGTGGCTCGTACGTTGGATTGCGTGCAGCCAGCAGTAACAGCCTGGTTGATCAGACTCTTATCCACCAGGAGGCCTGGTCACAGATCGGGCCATGGGGGCATTGACCCCCGGAACTCTCTCCAGGTAAACTAATCCCTGAAGGATTTTCCAAGTGTATATTATTATGTATCTCTCGCCTGCATTCCAGGGAATACAAATCAAGAGACTTCAACCGCTCCCAGTAATTTAGGTGCCTTTTCGTACTTATGTGTGCTGTGAAAGTTCTTTGTACACTCTCTAGGCCAGCAATTTTGTCTGCCTTGAAGGGAACAGTTAGTGTACAGCTGTATTCCAGCCTAGAGAGAACAACTAATTTGAAGAGAATCATCATTGGCTTAGCGACCATAGTTTTGAAGGTTCTCATTATCCATCCTATCATTTTCCTAACAGATGCAGTAGGTACATTGTTGTGATCTTTGAAAGTGAAATCCACTTGACATTATCACTTCCATATCTGAGTAGTTGAAATTTCTCTTCACTGAGCTGTATGATAATTGTACTTATTAAAAGATTAAAAATTAAAGATTTTATTTCTTTGCAAAGGTTACAATAATTAATTACAATTTTGATTTCTTAAGTACAAAGAAAGCCACTATCATGCTTGGGAATTTCGGGCAAACTAACCCTAGAACATATTAACTACTTAAGTCTAGACAAGATAAGAATGGTTAACCTTTTAATAAATCTTTATTGTATCTTAATACTAATGCAAGGTAGTCAGGGTGGAGGTTTATAAGATTAATAATCTTGAGGTTGCACATAAAAAAGTATTACAATTAATGGTTCAGACAGTAATATTTTAGGGACTGGCTGATGTTTTAATTGACTAGAGGTCATATAATATATTTGGGAGAGTTGCTTCAAACTGATTTAGAAGTTGTTTTGTTTGGTTTAGTTAGTACTGAGAGATGAAATTATTTTTAAGCATGGCCCTAAAGTTGTATGTAGTCAGGGGATCCTTAACCAGTTCAGGTAGTGAATTCCAGATCTTCAGACCCTTTATGTGTATTGCATTTTTACATAGTATGAGACTTACACAAGGGATGTCGAAGAGTGCCTTGTACCTTGTATTGTGACTGTGCATTCTGTTGTAGCTATCAAGGAGAAGTTTAACCCTCAAACTGTCCAAACGAATTTACGTTCACATGTGTAGTGCTCCAAAAAGTAGATCTACGTTTTTTTACATATTTTCAAATATAACAAAAAAAAGTAGATCAAAGTTTTTTTCACACGTTTTCAAATGTAAAAAAAAAGGAAAGAAGATCTACTTTTTTTACATACTTTCAAATGTTGAAAAAACGTAGATCTACGTTTGGACAGTTTAAGGGTTAAGCAGAGGGTTTGTATTGGAGTTTAATGTTCTGTATATATAGTAGGTACAATAATAATTATGTACCTGTACCTAAATAAACTTAAGTCAGAATAAAGTCACTTGTAGAATTGGTATTTTTTGTTATGTAATATTAAGGGGCTTTTTGCATGCATACCTAAATGTTATTTGCCTAAAATATCCTATCATACCTTAACCCTGCTCTCCTATGTTTTCTGTGATTGGCCAGGTTGCAATACTAAGCATTGATTGGTTCTTACATTCCACTCGTGCCAAAATAAATATTAAGTCTCGCTAGTACAGCTGAGAATCCTTTATCCGAAATGCCTGAAACCAGAAGTGTTTTGGATTTAGGTTTTTTGGAATACAGTGGACCCCCGCTTAACGAACTTTTTTCATTCCAGTAGTATGTTCAGGTGCCAGTACTGACCGAATT